AATATATTGTTTGTTTTGCAATAAAGATTTTATCATTCATTAGTTTAGGACTGACCGCTGTTACACTTGACCAAATGAAAGTAACTTAGTAAGAAACTGAACAAACCATTTAGATCATGTGAATGGTTAACTAAAGAAATGAGATCAATGGAAAGTGATCCTGTCAGACTGACATGTACTACCTTGACAAAAGACATAGACAAGTGTTCAAGCATGAGGCACAGTTGTTAGATTAAGGCCACGGAAGCACGGCTCTTCTCTGAATAGGGACAATTTAATCATGTTTATACATAAAAAGTTGAAATAATAGAACAAATAAATATATTTTTGCTGGATTTATAGGATTTTACAATCAATTTTATAAATATCTTGCAAGAACTGTACACTTGAGAGTGCTTACAATGCAATTTTCTATAGAATAAACATTTCTATCTAGCCAGTAAGGGATATAACTCCTGTAAAAATAATTGACCAGTGCTGATTTTCCATTCTGTCTCACAGTGCAGACATAAGCCTTTAATATAATTTTTTTAACAATCCTACAAGAAATGAAGGCTTGTGAGGGCTTACAATGCAATTTTCAACATGATTAACATTTTCAAGGGGCATAACTCTTTTCAAAAAAGGCATCAGTATTGATTAATCTAATTTGTCCAAGACATTGCTGATATAAACCTTTGATATAAATTTAATAATTATCTGGCAAGAATTGTACACATGAGAGTGCTTACAATGCAATTTTCTACATATCAATTAATATTTTCAAGGGCATAATTCTATTAATAAACTGTTAACACAGAGATATGTCTTGCCTAATTGTTATTTTGATAATGCAAATGTTGAAATTAAAATAGCAATACTTTAACATGTAAGTTATGCAAATATTCAAAGTCAATGAACCATGACTGAAGGTACAGGGCTAAACAATCTCCATGGAAATGAGATGTGCCAATGCTAATACAACTGCAAACCAAATACCATTGACTTTTCATAAGTCGTTCCCTTTAAACAAACCTAAACACAAACATTAACTTGTAAACTATGTAAAAGTTTCAAAGTCAATGAACCATAATTAGGGGGTGGGGTTATATAATCTCCATGGAAATGAAACTTGCAAATGCCAATACATTTGCATACCGAATATCATTGACATTAGTGGTTCATCTTAAACTAACCTAATCACAAACCAATACATGAAAACTAAGCAAAAGTTCCAAAGTCAATAGACCATAACTGAGGGGTAAGGACCAAATATTCTCCATGGAAATGAGATGTGATAATGCTTATACAACTGCATACCAATTATCATTGACCTACCACTAACAGTTACCCTTAAACTGACCTAATCACAAACTAATACATGAAAACTAAGCAAAAGTTTCAAAGTCAATAGACCATGACTGAGGGGGCGGGCCAAATTATCTCCATGGAAATGAGATATGCCAATGCTTATACAACTGCATACCAAATATCACTGACCTACCACTAGTGGTTCCCCTTGAACTGACCTAATCACAAACTAATACATGTAAACTAAGCAAAGTTTCAAAGTCAATAGACCTTGACTGAGGGGGCAGGGCTAAGTAATCTCTATGGTAATGAGATGTGCCAATGTTAATACAACTGCATACCAAATATCATTGATCTACCACTAGTGGTTCCCCATAAACTGACCTAATCACAAACTAATACATGTAAACTAAGCAAAGTTTCAAAGTCAATAGACCTTGACTGAGTGGGCGGGGCCAAATAATCTCCATGGTAATGATATGTGCCAATGCTAATACAACTGCATACCAAATATCATTGACCTACCACTAGTGGTTCACCATGAACTAGACCTAATCACAAATTAATACATTGTAGACGCCGCCGACGCCGGAAACAGCATACCTATGTCTCGCTTTTTGACTCCGTCAAGGCAAGACAAAAATAGTTGATCAGTACTGATTTTCCAAATTGTTCAAGATATTGCTGATATAAACCTATGATATAAATTTCATAAAAATCTGGCAAGAATTATACACATGAGAGTGCTTACAATGCAATTTTCTACATATTAATTAATATTTTCAAGGGGCATAATTCTTTTAAAAATAGTTAATCATTACTGATTTTCGAACTTGTCCAAGAAATTGCTGATATAAACCTATGATATAAATTTCATATAAATCTGGCAAGAATTGTACACTTGAGAGAGTTTAAAAGACAGGACAAACCCCTTGTATTACTTTGTACTTTGATTTGTTTGATTGATTGATTGATTGATTGGTGTTTAATGCCACTTTCAACACTATTGTGCTATTTCATGGCGGTCAGTTTTTATTGGTGAAGGAAGCCGGAGTACCTGGAGAGAACCACGGACCTTCGGTAGGAAAACTGACAATCCTAGTCAATTAAGATTGGAGCCGAGTGCACCTGCCCTGTGCGGGATTTGAACTCACTACCTCAGTGTTGACTGGCTAGTGATACAGTAGTTTGACTACTGAGACCACTCGGCCACCGAGGCCTCCTGTAACATGTTGCACTGCAGATGATATGATTATTTTAGCATTGTAAAGCATTTCTCTTCCTAGATGCAAAACTATAAGGACAGGGCGGTTCACAGATATGTCAGTAGAAAGCACAAAAAGGGCAAAGGGGAGTTGCATTCCACTATTTTGGACTAGCTGGGACGCTATAGACAAATATAAATATAGTTTTGATTCAATCATAATAATAATAAAAACTTAACACAAATTTCATCATTTAACTATTTCAGTCTGACACGTGGTCATAATGAAGTATTTGTGGTTTCCATTTTATAAAATCAGTCTTCAGGCAGGCAAAAGATTATTCAGTCAGTAAAAAGATTTCTTATTTCATATTTTTCCCCAGTCCAATAAATTAAAAGAGGTTGCCTGACGATGGGCATCAAAAGCACTTAAAACTGTCAGCCCAACATTTTCAAAAATTCTATAAAACATATTTTAAAACTCATTGAAGCATCAAATTGAGAACAAGGTCAACAGGTATTTTAGATTTCAGATGAAAAGTGATGAGCATAAGGCATCAATGCATAAAATATAAATACCATCTGAAATATATATCATGTTAACTATTTTACCCATTAAATGCAGAAAGAACATACCTTTCAGAAGCATAAGGATAGATGAAAAAGTCATCAGTATATTAATGTAAAATACAGCCTGTGGGTTAAACATGTCCAAATTGTATTGAACATTATAGCAAATATCATTCCAGATTTTTTTCTACAAGCCAAATTCAATGTAAAAACTTTTCAACAATGAACATTATTTTCATTGTATTGCTTAGAGCTAAAATTGATTTTTCAAGATAGACTCTATACATGTACATGTTTATAGATAGATTGATATGTTAATACAACTTTTATTCTCACCTCATTTACTATATTCATATAAATTTTAATTCAAACTGCTTTATTGCATATTAAAAGAGATATTCTATTACTTTTGATGTATACATAGTATAAACCGTTGTGTGACAATGAAACTTAAATAAAGTGGAATGTACATTGGAAAAGGAAGTTTTACTGTCACATGTGGTGGGTGGATTAAACAAAGTTCAGTCAGTTAAAAACAAAACGGATTGTGCATATCATTCGAAAAATTGATTTAAAACATTTCCTCTTTAGATCACTAGATATGATACAAAAAGTATGTTACTTAGAGCATGTCTTATCTAGGTTATTAAAATTTTTGAATTTCATCTAAAAATATCTCTTTCTTGTGATCTTTTAAGATGTTATGAATGATAAAATTCAACATTATGTTCTATCTTAGAATTATGAGCATTTTGTTTTGTGAGACAAAACATAGTTGCAAATAATCATGATGACATTGGGATAGTCATCAAACTTTAAAATAAAGTTTTTCAATATTTGTTTTATTTTTTCATTCCCCTTTCAATTATCCCTATACAGTTACTATATAATGTATTCCCTCTGGTGCAATGTTTCTACAGCAATTTGCAATTTTATTTCATCTATCTTCATTATATCTAATTAATCAAGTTAACTCCACTGAATTTCACCCAAAATAAGCTGATGAGAGAAATACTTGTATGTCAAGACTGATCGATTGTTGGTTATGTAATGTCCAGTGGCAAATATTTCATTCATTTTCAGGACAATTGTATGTCAAGAGCATATCAGTATAAAATTATCAATTTCAAGTTGTCGCAAGATTTTTGTAAAAAGGGCTACAGGGTTTTATCATTGAGAGGTAGCTATTCATCCCGAAATATCTATAGGAAAACAATATAAAACACTGAATGTCCTAATATAGTGAGAGCATTACATGTTTATATGCCCCTTCCAAGTCAAGAATCTCATCGCTGGTTGTGTATAGATACCAGTCCTGTCTTTTGTTGACAACCTCTTAATGCCTTTTTTGCTATTAGTTTCATTGTCCCATTGACATACGCCGAACATCCCTTTTCATTCATATAAAATTGTATCTTCTTAACATACTTCATATTTTCCGTTACACAGAAGTCTGATGAAGTCATACTTTCTGTTGATAACTTCCTTGAAGAAATATTCAATGAATTTCATATCATATAATTATATTATGGGTAATTCAATGTTATAATTTATTGTAAATCATCTTTATCTTAATAAAATACTTTGATGTTCCTTATTAATGGACAAAGCTTAAATTTTAAAAGGACTTCCTTCTATAAAGCTTTTGAATGGAGTTATGCCCAACATTCTACAGAGTAAAGGCTTTTTTTAAGCCAATACTGTCCTGGTGTGGACAAGTCTGAATGGTTTAAAATATCAGGCATTTAATCACTATTGTAAGCTTAACCTTCAACTTTAAACTACACATCTCAAGTTTAAGGAACTGTAAGGTATCCCACTAGGAGTTAAGTCAGCGGAGGTAAACATGTCAGCCCTTAATTAAAGGAAAGTAATGAACTAATATAGCATATAATTAAGTTGGTCTACCGAACTCTTAAATTAAAATACACCATACCTTTATAGAAAGCTAATTAATTGTCAGTTTGATGTTCAGTAGAAGCATGGATGTTAATGTCAACACATGGGTTTATAATGCTAATTCCATACAAACATCTATCTGCTTATCATTTTTTCTTATTCCATTTTCAAATAAATATTTCTTCTACATCATAAACCTGAAAATATACCAAAATAATATGGTTATATTATTAATTCTTAACCAAACTATGACAACTTTTTGGGATATTGTCACCTGTCCAGATGCCTATGGGAGAGCTAAAATTTATAGACGTTGCTTCCTGCAACAACAAAAAAGAAGCAGTTATATGTGATGCCATTTGTTATAAGACATAAATAAAAACTTCCATGCTAAGTGGGTATAATAAAATTTAAAAGTATTGTCAAACAGAAAGTGACTTCCTGACAGATCAGGAAATTGTTTACACAGTACAACTCATCAATATACAATTCCAGAACAAATACCACAGCATTCCATAATACAGAAGCTGGGAAATGTGTAAACACAAATTATATTCTCAATGGTTGTAATACCATTCAAAGAATCTTCAAACAGGAAGTGACTCTTAGGATGATCTGAAAATCTTTATGCAATACAACTAAACATTATATGGTTCTATACCAAATATAAAAAAAATTCTGAATACAGAAGTAAGTAATGTGTAATGAAAATTTAGGACAGAAGAACGGAGGGGCAAGGTCATTCCAGTTTACCACTCATTTAGTGAGAAGGGGTATGATATCAAGGTCTAAAATAGGTCCCTATTAAAATTAGATATAGCAAGAGTGAGTTGAGGTGAATGAATTCCATAATCAAAGTAATGCAGGTGTCATTTCACTTTTAATAATTTTTACCACATATTTGACTTAAGTGCTGACCTAAGCAGGTATAATACAATTAAATTTTATTATATATAAAACTAAGTATTTCATTCCCATTGGAATGAAGTATATCCTTGATTTTTTTTTTTTTTTAATAGTCTATACCTTAAGTTTCTTTGGTACTTCAGAAAATGGTTTTATAAGCAAATACTAGAATCCTGCTGAGAAACACAAGCAATTAAGGTGATTAAAATTCCAACAGTGTTTTGTTAAGCCTGATACTTATCAATAAGTTTGAGTACTTGTCCTTCTTCAATGTTTATATTCCATGATATAATGAGATAATTATACGATTATCTTCTCTTTATCATACAACTAAGTGATAGCTTTTGGCATTCATAAGTACTCTTCGTATGCTTTTAACATCACTTATTTAAGGCAAGCTTCCAAACATGTTCTGCAATTATACTGAAAAGAAAAGAGGTGGCCGTGAACAAATCATTTCCAGTATTAATACCCCAATACTGCATAATTGTTCCTGGTCCATGAAACCTTTTCCAAAAACCTTTACTAAATCTAATGCAGCATCAACTGCCTTCAACCTTTCATTCATCTCAGTCCACCCTCAACCCAAGAAATAATTCAACTGATTCATATAACTATATGCATTTTAACATTCTACGTAAATAGGTATCTTTGTTAACTACCATTCCGTGAAATTTCTATTTAATGATTGTCCTGAACATGTATGATATTTACCACTGGATGTTAAACAACCAACAAGAATCAATCCAGTTCATAAATTCAATTATGTAATTTTACTAAAATTAATAAGTAACAACTACCTTATCCAAAGCTCTATGACCTTAATGGTTTAATCCCTTATGGTTTGGGTAGTCTCTGAACATATATATTTTTGGCTTTCCAAACTTTTGTTTTGGTTTGATTGAGCATGCTGGGAGGGGGGCTTGACAATCAAAAATTACAAGTGTTCGAGACAATTAGGCCTCTTATTATTTTATGAAACTCTATGACTGGCAAAAAGTAACAGGTACACCGTACAGCAAAAGGAACTGTTTTGTTTTACTTTGAAATGGGTGTGATTGCAGACAATATTATCATTGTCATCCCTCTATTAGCTATATTTCAATACATGGTTTTAAGCACATGTGACAAAATTCTTAGTGTATTTCAAAAAGAGACTTATTCAAACAGAAAAATATTAATTTTCCATAAAAATTTTAAAATCTGTTATTCAGAAATTTTGATACTAGATTAAACTTTGTATGCATTTTTCAAGCATTATACATGCTAAATTGACAACAACACTTAAGTAAACTGCGACTTTTATTGGTCGACATGTAATCGGCGTCTTCAGGACCATTATACATGTACAAACAAAACTGTCACATTAATAACGATGTAATATTTATAACCAAATTTAGATAAACTCATGTTGTATATATATGTGCATTTATGTGCATTACTGATAAACCTGTGTGACTATATTTATTTAAAAAGGTATTACCTGTTGTACAGGGAATGAAATAGATAAAACAAAAATCAGAAATAAAACACTCCAACAGGTTACAGGTTACAATATGAATAAAAGGTAATGTGGGGTGTACCTAAATGAGACAACAACCCAACGACAAAAAATACCAAAGACATCTAGGGCACAAAATACAGTCTTCAAAAATAGACAGGTGTCTATTAAATATCTGGAGTTATATAAAAGTTTTGAATAATTCATACACAAATAATCACAGACCTGCCATATACACTTAAATTTCTAAGTGACAAAAAAAAACATTAAGATATGACAAAAGACAACCATTGGTTAGATCCTGACTTGGGAAAGACACGTGAAGATATGACAGTCACAGGGTTGAACTAGGAATTTTCTTAGATGTCAACCCTCCCTTTGTAATCTTGATCAGTGGACTAGGAAACTGTACATTAAAAGAACATAAGATAAAATGAGTACAGATAAAGTATTCAAATCTAAAGTGGAAATAAGTGTCCATAAATGATCTACTTGTTTTTGAAACAGCCATAAAAATCCTTATTACCCTTAAACTGCATCAGTGCACATTATCTTAAAACCAAAAATTTCATCACAAGGTCAAAGGTAAAAATGTAAAGGTCACAAGAAGGTCAACAACAATGAGACAAATCATATATAATATTTTTCGGTGATACACAATTGAAATAAACACCTAGCTAAAAAGCAGAAAAATCTCTGGCCAAAACAAAGAAGACGAGAAAATTATGACTATTTACAATTGTCGTGACTATGGCTGGATGACTTCATTACAAAAATTGCCCAGTTCAACCTGTTGGAAGAAAATATTACGTTTATTGAAATTTAGACTTCAATAAAAAATAAAATGCTCCGCAGGGCGCAGCTTGATACGACCGCAGAGGTCGAACCCTGAACAGTTGGGGCAAGTATGGACACAACATTCAAGCTTGATACAGCTCTGAATTTGGATTGTGATTAAATATTTGACACAGCATAGGTTTCAGACACAGAATGAATGTGGTCTAAGAACTTAAAAATTTTAAATTGGACATTCACCTATTATGGTCCAATATCCAAAATCTAAATACATGGTTAGATTCAGCATATCAAAGAACCCCAAGAATTCAATTTTTGATGAATTCAAACAAAGTTTAATTTTGGACCCTTTTGATCTCAATGTGGACAAAGTTGATAACTGGGCCCAAAAATCAAAAATCTAAATACATGGTTAGATTCAGCATATCAAAGAACCCCATATATTCAATTTTTGTTGAAATCAAACAAAGTTTAATTTTGGACCCCGATTTGGACCAACTTGAAAACTGGGCCCATAATCAAAAATCTAAACTCATGTTTAGATTCAGCATATCAAAGAACCCTAAAAATTCAATTTTGTTAAAATCAAACTAAGTTTAATTTTGGACCCTTTGGACCTTTATGTAGACCAATTTGAAAACGGAACCAAAAATTAAGAATCTAAATACACGGTTAGATTCGGCATATCAAAGAACCCCAATAATTCAATTTTTGATGAAATTAAACAAAGTTAAATTTTGGACCCTTTGGACCTCAATGTGGACCAATTTAAAAACGAGGCCCAAAATCCAAAAACTTAATACACGGTTAGATTCAGCATATGAAAGAACCCCATATATTCAATTTTTGTTGAAATCAAACAAAGTTTAATTTTGGACCCCGATTTGGACCAACTTGAAAACTGGGCCCATAATCAAAAATCTAAATACATGGTTAGATTCAGCATATCAAAGAACCCCATATATTCAATTTTTGTTGAAATCAAACAAAGTTTAATTTTGGACCCCGATTTGGACCAACTTGAAAACTGGGCCCATAATCAAAAATCTAAACACATGTTTAGATTCAGCATATCAAAGAACCCCATATATTCAATTTTTGTTGAAATCAAACTAAGTTTAATTTTGGACCCATTGGACCTTTATGTAGACCAATTTGAAAACGGAACCAAAAATTAAGAATCTAAATACACGGTTAGATTCGGCATATCAAAGAACCCCAATAATTCAATTTTTGATTGAAATCAAACAAAGTTAAATTTTGGACCCTTTGGACCTCAATGTGGACCAATTTAAAAACGGGGCCCAAAATCCAAAAACTTAATACATGGTTAGATTCAGCATATTTAAGAACCCCAAGAATTCAAGAATAAAACCCCATTGAAATTGATCAAGAAATAAGCAATTTATACGAAGTATATTCTTTTGCACAATACTGTGCAATTGAATATTTCTTGCTATTGCGCAATACTGTACAATTGACAATTTCTTGCTATTGCGCAATATTGTGCTATTGGATATTTCTTGCTATTGCGCAATACTGTGCAATTGAAGATTTCTTGCTATTGCGCAATACTGTGCAATTGAAGATTTCTTGCTATTGTGCAATACTGTGCAATTGAAAATTTCTTGCTATTGCACAATACTTATTGTATAATAATTTACACATCCTGTTTGGTGTGCATCTCCTACCATATCATTATTATTTGCTTTTAAATATAAATCAGAAATAACCAACTTAAAATGGAAAATTTTAAAAGAAAAAAAAAAGGAAAAAAAGAAAAAAAAAGAAAAAAAAAAAAAATCCCCCCCCCCCAAATTTTTTGAACCCCCTTATGATTCATCACCCCCAAACTCAATCCCAGCCTTCCCTTTGTGGTATGGTACCTTGCAGTACAATTTCAGAGAGATCCATACACTTGAACACAAGTTATTGTCTGGAAACTAGAAAAATGCTTACTTTTGGCCCCTTTTTGGCCCCCAATTCCTAAACGTT